ATTTGCATGTCGATAAACCTCTTTAAATGCAAAGTTGTAGGCACTTTTCACAGAGAACACACCATGTTTGTCTGGCCCCCAAGCAATGATGTCTTCCTCCTGTCTCGGGGATGCTCAAATTTTAGAAGTAAGGCCAGATTTCAAGAGCCGTTAGGATTAAGCAAATCTGCCACAAACCTGATTCTGCATGTGCCCAGAGTGGTAATCAGTTTGAAACTGAATGGTCTAGGGATCCAGTTGTCGCGCCAAATTCTGATGCTTCAGCCATTTCCTACTCTCCAAAGAATCCCCTTCTTTAACAAATCCAGGTCGTGGCTAATCGCCTGCCATGAAGAAGATGCATTCCCACTAAACACTATATCCTCGAGTTTACCATCCGGGTAATATCGGGCCTTCAAAACCTGCGCACAAAGAGTGTGTGGTCTAGTGATAAGATGTCAGGCCTGTCAAGCCAACATAGCGTGGGTGAAAAGTCGAAAATCCCTAAAACAAACTCCTCCTTTACTCTTCGGTTGCATCAACCTATCCCACGAGCGCCAATGAACCTTCCTCTTCCCTAGCGTCGAACCCCAATAGTAGCTCCCGACCATTCTTGTGAGCTCGTCACAAACAGAGAGCGGAAGTTTGAAAACTCCCATAATATAAGTGGGAAGGGCTTGCGCTACAGGTTTAGTGAGGACCTCCCTTCCTGGCTGCGCCAAAAGTCCATCTCCCCACTGTACCAAGCGTTTTGTTAAGCTCATTTGAAGGTTTTGGAACCGTCCTTTCGACAAACGACCATCTGGCGTTGGAAGCCCCAAGTACTTTTTCTCAAAGACCGTGCTGGACACATGCAACACCCCCCTAATCTCCTCTTGGATAGCTGTTGGGCATGCTTTCCCAAATAGGATTGAACATTTTTCATAGTTCAGGCTTTGGTCGGTAGCTTTACTATACAATTCTAGCACAGACTTCACCTCCTCTGCTTGAATCTTTGAAGCTTCAAAGAACAATAATGTGTCATCCGCAAACAATAAGTGTGAGATACCAGGAGCCCGCCTACACACTTTAACAGGAGTAATTTCTTCAGTTGCAACCTTATGCTTAAGGAGAGAAGATAACCCATCGGCCACAAATAAGAATAGAAATGGTGAGAGAGGATCGCCTAGCCGAAGACCTCGCGACGGTGCGAATGAATCCAAGAGGGTTTCATTTAGTTTGACAGAGTAACTCACATACGTGACACATGACATTCTCCAGTCCATCCATCTATGAGAGAAGCCTAGCTTTTGCATCACTCTCTTCAAGAAAGACCAATCCACACGATCATATGCTTTTGGAGAGATCAAGTTTATACGCGCAAAAACTCTTAGTGGGGTCCTTTTCCTGCTTAATGTGGTGAATACACTCAAATGCCACTAGGGCATTATCTGTAATTAGCCCGCTATATGATCAGAACATGGGGAGACCACATGCACAACAGAGCATAAAGGAAAAAGATTTCTCCATGCATTTGTCGCTGTTGCCCTATCCAAACAAACTTGAACATTATTATTGCCGCTTAGTTTATTATCATATGTGAAGGGGATCCCCGATAACCCCAAGTCCACCAACTCGCACACTTCTAGTGTATCTCTGAATGCCACCATTTGAGCCTCAGGTCTCGGTGTCGCTGATAAGTGCTCAAAATCCCAGAGAGCTTCATTGAAGTCTCCGGCCACTAACCATGGATGATTACTGACACTCTTAAGGTTCTTTAGTTTTGTCCACATCATGTGTCTATTTTCAACCCGCGGTTCTCCATAAACACAAGTAAGCCTCCATTGCCCAGAGTCCGGATTAACACGCACTATAGCATCAATGTACCGGTCGTCCTTGTCCAGTATGCTAATATTGCAAGATTCGTGCCAAAACAGAGCTAGTCCACCACTCATCCCAATGCTATCTACTCCTTCAAAACCCTTCAAGCCAAGTCTGCTCCTGAGTCTCTTCATCTTATTCGTTGTTTGCCTCGTCTCGCACAAAAATACAAACGTGGGGGAATGCGACTGCGAGATGGTCGTTATTTCTCGAACCGTCTGGGTATTCCCCCCTCCTCGGCAGTTCCAACTCAGAAGATTCATTGGGCTTGGTGGCCCTCCTCGCCGGAGGCCACCGTATTCATTGTCATTAAGACATTTTCTCCTCCCCCCTCTCTTCACCCTGCTTTCTTCTCTTCACAATAGGAACCCTGTCGGGTGTTGCATTTTGGGGAGTTCCATCACCACTTCTTTCAGTCCCACTTCCGTTCTCCAACAACATCACAGTGTTAGATACTTTCCCAGCAAGGTGCGGCAAGTGTTTCCCTCTAATATTTACATAACCATCCGCATTAATGAGTCTCTTCCGAGCACTTTTACCATCTCCCCCCATTGGTCATGAGAAATATCCATATCAGCCTCCCTTGTGTCAACTCCCCTCCCACGGCCTCCTGCTACCCTAGTTCTCCCACCTCTATCCCCTCTTCCTCTTCCACCACTCCTCCCCCTCCTCTACCGACACCAAAAGTACCCCCTCCTCTCCCTGCTGTATTCGACCAAGCACCACCCCTACCTCCTTTACCATCATTTGCACCATCAGAGTCATTACTCCAGTGTA